GTTCTGTGTTCCCTTCCTGAGAGAGTATGGAGCAGGGCCATGACCTAAGAACTGATTGTTCTTAAATTGGAGTTAGGATTCAGTGCGAGCCCCACGCCCATTCCTGGATCTATGATTTTCCCCTTTTAATTAGCTGTAACTTGGGATAAAGCATGACTTTTCGACTTTGTCTTGAAGATTTAAAAATATTTAAGCCCCGTTTTCTTGACCCCACTACCTTCTCCCATTCGCTTCTCTCTTCTCCTTCCAAGCTATTTATGCTCCGATTCTTCCTCCCCCACTTACTCCTGAACCACTCCAGTCAGCCTTCATCTCCCCCCTACTTCTTTTAAGTCTCCAAGGACCTCCACACCCCACTATCCAAAAGACAATCCTCAACCTTCATTTGTCAGCACATCCACACAAGTTGAGACAGCGCATGATCTTATTTTTCTTGAAATATTGTCTCCACTTACCTTCCAGGACCCCACAGGGCACCTTTGCAGGCTCCTTCTAGTTTCTTCCCCTCTCTGACCTCTGACCTCTGAAGGATGAAGTTTCCCAAGGCGTGAGTTCAGCTCTGCGTCCTCTCACAGTCCCGGTGATCTCATCTAGCCCCCGGCTTTAAATAACACCTACATGCGAATGTAGGAGGTTGGATCCCATAATCCCATGGGCCAATTCAAGGCCCAGCCAAGTAGGCGGTACACCTGGGTGGGCCCAAACTAGGCCAGGTGGGCTTAATTCATCCAATGAGGTCAAACAATACCTTTGCTCACACCTCTCAGCTGAAGGCCACAAATACCAGCACCTGAGATTCCCCCAGCCCTTCGGAGGCTTCTCCACCTTCCACTCTGCCCTGCCCTAGTCTCTCTCTCTGGGGCCTGAGGTCCCCACGTGGGTGTGCAGCCCGAGATGCCCGTGTACAGTGACTGTAAAACCTGAATCTCCTTCTGTCCTTATAAAAACTCATTTGGCCTCCCTCCAACTACCAGGACCCCAATTCTGCCTTGCAGACCTGGTTAGACCAGATGATAGCACAGCGGTACAGATGGGAATTGGAAACGCAGGAAATCTAGGACAGATGAACCCCTTAGGACCAGGGGTGACAGTGGCGATACCAGGAGAGAAGGGGGGTGTAGAAAGGGGGAATTGATCACGGGGAGCTACATATAACCTCCTCTCTGGGGGACGGGCAGCAGAGGGGTAGGTGAAGGGAGACGCCGGGCAGTGTAATATAAGATATAATAATAATTTATAAATTATCAAGGGTGCATGGGGGAAGGGGAAGGAGGAAGGGAGGGGGAGGGGGGAAAGGAAAATGAGCTGATTCTAGTAATCCAAGAGGCAAGTGAATTTTGGGAATGATGAGGGCAACAAATGTATAGATGTGCTTTACACAATTGATCTATGTATTGTGATGAATTGTATGAGCCCCAATAAATTGATTTAAAAAAAATTAAAAGTCCAGTAAAAGGTGGTATACACATAAAAAAACAAAAAACAACTCATTTGGATCACAACCCAGGGTCCAGCGTGAATTCTTTCTCCTGCGAAGCCAAGAACCAAGGCATTTCCCACCTGAGAAACCTCACAGTTAGTCTCGCAGACTCAGCGGGGGCAGTTCTATCCTGTCCCGTAAGGTCGATGTGAGTTGCAATCGACTCAGTGGCAGTGAGGTGGTTTTTCTTGGTCTGGTTTGTACACAAGTGACCAAATACGCACTTGGCAATGCTTACTGCCATTTGTCATGGCACAACACAGGGGCACCCATGCAGCCATGGGTGCGGAGGGCTTCAGCAATACACAGGGTGCATCTAGACCTTGGAGTGGGTATTCCTGGACTTGGGAAAGGTCTTCAAAGTATAGTAAGTGCTAAACCGACTAGTATCTAGAGAATAATATCCTGGTCTGGTAATAGGTCGAGATGAACAATCTTTGTGTCTGTGCTTTTTCAGATGTCTGGAAGGTTCCCCTCTGGAATGAGGTGTACCTGGAAAGGGAGCCCACGGGGCTAGAAGAGGAAAGAGGTGCTTCCTTACCCATGCCTGGCAGTCTCCCGTTTCCACTCTTAGTCTTACCACAAGTGGGTGCTTTCATCCTTTGTCTACAGAGCATTAAAAAATAATAATTTTTAAAAGCCCTCACTCACTCTGAGATCATAGGCATGCTCACCTGCATTTACTTCAAACTTACTCCTGCTTACAATAAAACCACTTCCACGCCTCCTCCTCCTCATGTGGGATTACAGAATGAGGCTCTAGAGTGTCTAGTGTTCGCACCAGAGTGGGTTCCTTTACAAGCTTTTTGGATCCAGGAAAACAAAACATCTATTTGTAGAGAATCTACATGAAGGTCACCCCAAGAAAACCTGAGTCTGTTTGAGGAAGACAGGGTACCCCTTGAAGTGGCATCTCAAATTTTTTCAGTCTCTGCTGATGTCTCCCTGCCCTAGGGGGTGGGCTGGGAGGGGCAGGCAGCAGTGAGGGGGTGGTGTCCGAGGTGGTAGTGGTTTGTCTGTCTGGGCTTTTGTTTATGAAATTCCCCATGTCATGGCCAAGGGCAAAGCAAACATCACCCATTGTTCGGGAGAGGAGGGAGGTCGTTTCAATCCTGCTAACATGATCAGACGATGAGTGGTTTATTGAGGGTAGAATGGTCTTTAGCCATAAGATTTCATGAGATACAAAGAAGAAATTGGTTTCCTGGGAATCGGTTTTTCCTTTTCTTTAACAATTTTTAAAAACTGTAAATGAGGCAGGGGCCTGGAATGCTTTAAAACTCCACTGCCTGCCCCGCTCCACAGGATTACAGGGGGCTTTGGCAAGTCTGTAGAAAATAGCCACCCTCTTTTCACTCCGTGTTTTCCCACTAAGGTTGTGTAGCCCCTTCTTATTTTAGATGGGATGTCCCGTCTGCTCTCTGCTCCTGTGGGGAGCCCCCAGCTTTATGGGCTGCAGGAATGGCTGGTGAGGGCCCTGTTGCCCCCTAGCTGCATGCTGGGCCAGCAGGGGTGGGAGGGCTGGTTCCATTGCCCCAGCCATGGCTGATGCCACCCCGCCCTGGAGGCTTCCAGTGCACAGTGTCCACACTGCCCAGCGACCAGTGTCACGTGCACAACAGAGCCAGGCTGCAATGACTGGCCCCGAGACAGGAAGGCAGCTTCACCACCGGCTCCAGCTCTGACGGGGGAGTCAAGAGTGAGAGCCACCCTGCGGGAGCCCCTTCCAGAAAGGAAACTGGCTGACTATCCCACAGGCAAGCAACTCCATGCCAACAGGAAATGAGGTAATTCATCAGAGAGAGGGGAAACACACACACACACACACAGACACCCCAAAAAACAAGAAATAAAAAGGTTCTAAGGACATAGACTTCTTTGAGTCTGTCTGGCAAAAGGCAGCGCTGAAAGAAGCTTGCTAATATCAGACTCAAGTCTGTGAACGGATGCAGAAAGAACAGGGAGGTCAGACCTGGGAGGACTAGATGCCAGCTGCCGCAGAACTGATTCCGACCCCCGTGTGCAGGTGCGCGTGAGGGCAGCTCTGTGCTCCACAGGGGGTTCCAATGCTGAGACGTTTCGGAAGTCAGCCAGGCATTTCTTCCGTGGCACCTTTGGGTGAATACGAACCGCCCATCTTTTTGTTAGCAGCTGCACGTCTAGTCATCTGTGCCACCCAGGGGCTCCAGGGGAAGAGAGGCGAGGAAGGAAAAAAAGAACTCGACATTGAGACAAAACTAAGCCACCTGCCTTGACCCTTCCCTGGGTGTGCATTTCGTTGATGACATCACTAAAGGAAACCAGAAAGAGGTCAGGTGGCAGACGAGCAGAGAAAGGCCGTCGGGAGCTAGCAGGACGCAGCCTCCTCGTTTTCTATAGAAAGGCTCTGTCGATAGAAGGGCTCTGTGCCTTCTGGGTCTTGGGTAACTATTAGATTTCTTCATCTTTAAACTGAGGAAGACAAAAATAAAATAAAATAAACTGAGGAAGACGACGGCAGGGCTGCGGAGGCCAGGCAGCACGGTGGGCGTGTAACGTTAACAAGGTAGTTCTGCGGCTCCTGGAGGGACCGTGCTGGAAAGAGCCCTCAGAGGCCCTGGCCCCCAGTGTCATAACTAAGTTCAAATGAGTCCAGTGCTCTGTCCAGGCATGCTGTCTGTGACCGTGACCCTGTGGTTTCAACAGCGTGAGAGACACCGTGTGTCCACTACAGGGCTCTCCTGTCTCGCCGTGCCCTGCCGGGAGCTCACGCTGACCAGAGTCCCCGCGTTCATACTGCCCGGCTGGCCTTCGGAGCTCTATGTCATGAGCGGGTGCAGCTGGGCCAGGTGGTGGGGACTCTGGACAAGCCGGTCCCCACATCACCCCCTGGGCAGGAAGGAGGCCTTCCTAGGTCTAAAACAAGAGGGGCTGGTTGTCACCTGGTTCACCTCCAGACCAGTGGCCAGCCCTGCGTCCCAAAGGGAGGCCAAGAGCGGAAGAGACGGCCACCTGTGTTCCCTTGTGCAAAGCAATGCAAACTCCTGGAAGCCAGGGCGTCTTCTGCAGACTCATGCCTGGCCTTTCCTTCCTAAAGGGAGAGCTTCGCAGCCTGAGGGACTCTGGTTAAAAGCCGAGTTCTGCAGAAGCAGGTTCTGAGGAAGCAACGATGTTCGAGGAAAGACGAGAGGGTAGCCCTGTCCTAAAGCTGACACATCACCTTGCCCACCCCCAGTCTCAGCTCAGAGTTTGTTGACCTCCTTCCCCCATCCCTCCCCTCCCCAGGCTGGGACCAACAGGGTTTTGTTAGAATGCAAGTCCAATCACCCTCACCTACCCTTGGGGGACAGCCTAGTCTCAGGACCCCCAGCCCCTCCTAACCCAGGTTCACATCCCTCATCTTTCAGGCTGCCTCCAGCCAGCACCCCTGGTGTGGGGAGGATGCCTCACCAGGGTGCCCCAGGGCAGAGTCCAGGTCCCCGGGGTCCCTCTGCCTGGTGCCCACGCATGTGCCCCGAGCTGTCCCACAGAGTAAGCCAAGTTGGGGGGCAGGGAGGAGCCTGCACGTTTTATTGGGGAGACGGCAGAAGCGGAGGCTGAAAGCAGAACAGCCACATTTTTAACAACAGATAAATTAACCGCAGTTTGGGGTCCGGGGTGGTGGTGAGGACTGGGCCAGGCGCTTTAATATAAAAACAAAACAAAAAAAGACGACGAGACAAACGAGCCCCAAAGACGCGGGGCAGGGAGGTCAGCACCATCCAAACAGCAGAGAGGGCCAGGCAGACGGAGAGAAGGCACCTGGTCCCCCTCAGCCCCTGGATCCCCCAGCACAGGGGCAGGGCCTGGCCCCAGGATGCTCCAGGCAGGGGCTTGGCCAGGTTGGGCGGAGATGGCACAGCAGGTGGGCAGGGCCCAGCACCACAAGAAGACGGCTCAGCTCAGTCTCCAGTGGAAGCTGGGGGCGGGGCCCCAACCCCTTTGGAGAAGAGCCTTATTCTGGGTGAGAGAGGGGACCAAGGGCAGGGTCCCTCCCTGAGCTGAGAGCAGGATCATCTCATCCACAGCAGCGGTGCCCGGCGGGCAGGGGTGCCAGGGACCCCGCCACCTCCTTTTCCATTGGCCTCCTTGGTCCCTTCGGGGGGCAACCCACGGGCCCCTGGCGAGGTTCGGCCTGTGGTCCCCAGCTCCGGCGGGGGGCTGTGGGGTGGCACTGGCCTCAGCCCTGGCTCCCACAGGAGGACAGCGAGTCGTAGAGCGAGTCACTGAGGGACTCCGAGGTCTCCAGCCCCGGGGCACCTCCACTGGCAGCGCGGGCATCCTCGCCCATGTCCGATGTGCTGGGGGTGCGGCTGCCCCCAGACACTGGGCCTGGGGGCGTGGTGGTGGATGGGCGGCTGGGCTCCAGGCTCGGCTTCCGGTCCACGGGCAGGGCCTGGGAGAGGAGGGGCATCTTGGGAGGCAGGTCCCTGAGGAGGCTTTCTGCCCCCAGCACAGTGCCGGGAGGTGGAGGGAGGCAGGCCCCCTGAGGTGGGGTGCTTCTCAGAGGAAGCAGGCTGGGTGTTCGGCCTAGCCAGCTGTGGGCGAGGCACAGACACTCTTTCCAGGAGCAGTGTGTGAGCAGGCAGATGGGTAGGCTACCTGGGGGGCATCTCAGCCCTCCTGGCCAGTCGTGCCAAGACTGGACACTGGAGAACCCCATCTCCCCATCACTCCCCATCCTTTCTCCCTCACCCTTGCTGCATTCTCACCATGGGGGTCCGGGGCAGTCCCTCCAGCTGCCGGGGCGTGCAGAGGAAGGGGTCAGCAGAGCAGCTGGTGGCCCGTGCGTTGGGGAAGGTCCAGTTCTTGGCCAGCTGGCTGGCGGGGGGTGCGCCTGGGTCCTCACAGGGATCTGCCCGGAGAAGGCAGGTAAGGGGGTAGGGGGGGTCAGGGCTGCCCAGGGGTTCACTCCAGGGAGGGCCCCAGCACAGCCCCCACCCCTGCCTGGACACTCACCCTCAGGACAGGTCTTATGGCCGCGGTGGCTGGGCGTTGCAGTGAGCAGCGCGGGGAAGACCGGCATGCTGGGGTGCCGCCCACTCACCAGCAGCTCCTCCATGCCTGGCACCTCACGCTCCAGTGTGTGGGCACGGCGGGGAACCTTAGTGAGGGGCGGGGGCCGAGCGGGGGTTGCCCCGGGGGGCAGCTCTAGCCGTGGAGGCTTAGTCTTGGGTACATTCTTGCTGGGGGGGCCACAGCTGCCATGGTCTGGGGGCGGAAAGGTCCCAATGCCACTGTCCAGGGTTCGGGTCAGGGAGCCACAGGCTGGGGAGCGGAGAGGAAGTGGAGGGGAAGGGTAACGTTAAGCCAGAGGCGCAGCTGTGGCTCACCCCCAGGTTTCTCCCTTAAGCATTCATCCAAGCCCAGGTCCCACCCTCTACTCAGGGCCTCACCCGTCCCACAGGCTCCACCCACAGACCCAGGGTCCAGTGGTACCTACCGCCCTCCCCTCACCTGCACCCGGCTTTGGGAGGAAGGTAGAGCAGATACCCCCCGAAGCCAGGCTGGCGGTCACCCACCCAGGGATCCACACCAAAACAGCCCTCGGGACTAAAGTGGGCAGGCAGAGGGTCAGGGTGTGGCCCCCACCCCCCAGTCCTGCGGACCTGTGAAGTGTGAGGGGGGCACTGGCTCGGCCAGGCTGTCCTCTGCAGGGACCTCTTCTCGCCTCCCTGGCTCGCTGCTCAGCTGTGGAGGACAGGAGGCCTGTGACCATGAGGCCTCTGGGCTTCTGGAGTGTGGCTGCAGCGAGCCACACCCTCAGGAGAGCCCAGGCCCTCCCCAGTCCACCCCAAGACTAGGAGTGCCTGCAGGACACCATGAGGCCTCCAGGCGCCCCCCCACCCCATGCCTGTGAAGGGGAGCTCACAAGGCAAAGAGCCGTGGGGGGCTGGGAAGCTGGGCCCTTTGACAGAGCCCCTAGCCCAAGAACTTACCTTCCCAGGAGGCTTTCCACAGCCCTGCAGGGGACCTACCAGGCCATTTCGGGGCCCGCAGGCTGGCCAGGGGTTCTTGGGGTCAGCGGACACTGGCTGGAAGCCCCCGTACTCGGGCTTGGGCTCCCGCCAACTTTGGGGCGGTAGCTCCTTGCCATCCACCCTAGGGCAAGAGTGTGATGGGAATGAGGGTCATGCAGGGCCGGGGGAAGGGGGGCCGAGCCCTGATGGTCACCCCTAGCGGCCCTCCTGTCACTGGGCTACAGCGGGGAGACTCTAGGGACAAGGCCGGTGGAACATCACGGCCGGGAAAGGGTGGAAGAACAGAGACCAGGCGGAGTGTTGATACAGACAGCAGACCTGGCCACAGCTGGGCCCATGCACGGAGTTTCCGCACGCATGCGCCTCACCAGACCCCATCTCTGCGATGTCCCACCTCCTTGGCCCAGGTGGGGCGCCCCAGGCTGGGGGGGCCCTGCTCTGAACTGCGGCTCCCACTGTGGCGCCTGAGGCAGGTGCCAAGGGGCAGGGTGGCACAGACAAGTCTCGGGGGAGGAGACCACCTTCAGCCCCAACAAGACCCAGCTCTCCTAGCCTCACGTGCCGTGGGCAAGGCACTGCCCTGCCGGGGGCCACCACACCTGACTTGCAGTCTGACCAAGAACACGTACTGCCAACTTCTCCAGGAGGCGGTGGCCTTGGGCGGGTGGGCTTGACCGGAGCCCCACGTCTTTCCTCCAGGCCAGCCCCCTGAGCAACCCCCAGTCGCTGCGTTGGCATCACACTCCACCCCTGGGGAAGCCTCCGCCCCAGGAAGGGTGTGCCCGCCGCGCACCTGTCCAGCGAGATGCAGGCCCTCACCTGTTGAGCAGCTGCTGCATGAAGGTGTCTGCACCTTGGTACATGCCGGCCAGCTGGCCCTGCACCTGCGGCCCTGGGCCTGGCCCCCCGGGCCGGGGCCGCGCCCTGCTGCTCAGGTAGGCCTTCTCCTCCTCCAAGGCGCGGCGCAGGTCTTCTGCCTTGGCCATCAGCTTGGAGATGTTGAGGCTCTCCGCCTCCAGCTTCCGGGCTTCCGTCTTGGCCTCCTTGCGGAGCGGGGAGCCGCTGGCCCCTTCCTTGCCCTTGGCGGCCTCCGTGCGGCGGTTCAGGGCCGGCAGCTTGCTCTTCTTCAGGCCGAACCAGCTGGCGATGCTGCTGGTGCTGCGGTGCTTGGCCTCGGCGGCCAGCGCCTGGCCCTGGCCCTGGCGCCGCAGCACGTTCTCCTCGATGCCCTTCATCACCTGCTCCTCGATGGCCGAGTGGGGGGCTGGCCCCTCAGGGCCCGGGCTGGGGTCGGTGGGGCCAGCCGCTGGGGGTGTGGGTGGGGCCGGGGCACCACCACAGTCCGCCCACGGCGGGCCCTTCCCCTTGTCCGACTTGGGGGCCTCCTTGTTGACCGAGGGGGCCCCGAGCCGGGGCACCACTTTGGTGGGGGACTTGGAAGGCAGTTTGGTGGGGCTGCTGTGGGGGCTCTTATTGGGCTTGCCCAGGCTGGGGGCTGAGGTTGGCACTTTGGCAGGGGCCCGGGGGGCCTGGGGGCACAGGGCCCCTGCCAGCCGGCTCTTGGCCAGCTCCACTTTGGTGAGGCAGCTCCTCGGTGAGATGGGCTCCAAGTCTAGCCGGGCCCCCATGGAGTGGGAGGAGTAAACTCGGGCTCCGGGGTCCCCCAGGAGCCCGGCTTCCTGCTGCTTCAGGCTGTTTGTGCCCAAGGCCACCGGCCCTCGAAGTGCGCCCTTGGTGTCTGGCTGCTCAGGGGCTCTGGTGCTGGGAGGCCCTGGGTCTCCTACAGTGCTCTCGGCTGACCTCCCGGGTCCCCGGGCCTTCTCGCTGCCCAGCCTGGCTGCCAGTCCATTCTTCTCTGGACCCAGAGGCCCCTCGGGGCCTGTCTTCAGTCTGCCCAGGGCAGCCAGTCTGTCCCGCAGGGGTGTGTAGCCAGGCTCCCCAGGCCGCCGCCCTGGCCCCTGGCCAGACTTCTTGGCTGAGCTGCCTGGGGTCCTGCGTCCGGGGTGGGGGGATTCCCAGCCTGCCTTGTCGGGGCTCTTCTCTGGGGGGCTCCCATAGGGGCACGGTTCTGAGGTGCACGGGCTGGAGGGGACGCCAGGGCTTCTGAGGACCTCGGTGGCGGGTGGCACCTCCATGGTCAGTTGTGGGTAGGGGGGCACCTGCAGTGGTGAGGGAGGGGGCTCTGGCGAAGCCCCCCTGAAGGTGGCCCGGGAAAGGTCCAGAATATTCTCGAAGCAAGGGGCCATCCCTGGCCCTGGGGACAGTGTGGTGGGCACGGCTGGCTGGGGGAGTCTGAGCTGGGCAGAGTCTGAGGCCGAGGAGCAGGGTGAGGAGCTGATGGGCAGGCCCTGTGCCCCGTCGGGGGACAGCTCTCCTATCCCCAGGCCCCGTCGGGCCAGCAGCGGCGAGGGGCTCCCGTCGGAGCCGCCATTCCGACAGGGGATTCGGGAGTTCCGGGGGAGCTGGGGGCTGAGCTGCGGGCCGCCTGGGCTGGGGACCTTCTCCGAGGCTGGAGGCAGCTTTAGGAACCTGAGGCCCCTGGCAGGAGAGGGCAGGAGTGGTCCCTGGGCCTCCCCGGGAGACGGGGGTCCGATTTGGAGCTTGCTTTTCACCTGAGATGAGGAGTGGGGGGGGCCAGGCCGAGAACCTGGGGGGGTGTCCCCTGCACCCACGAACATGCTGAGAAAGGGGAGCGGCCCCTGGCCTTCTGAGGTAGCACCAAAGGCTGGCCTTTGGGCCTCTGGGGTACCCCCGCCCCACGCTGACTTGGGAAGGCCTTTGGACTTGGGCAGCTGTGGGGGCCTCTGGTCTGGGGGGCCTGGCTGCCCAGGCCCCGGGTGGTCCCCGTTGAGTGGACCTGTTGCTCCCGCCAGGAAGGCCTGCAGGTAGGACTCCGTGTCCTCCAGGAGCTGGCCCAGGTTCAGCTGTTTGCGAGCCAGGGCACCCAGCAGGGTATCGGGGCTTGGGGCCTCATTGGGGTCCCCTGCCTCATCAGAAGAGGATGAGGAGCTGCTGCCGGGGGCACCGTGCGGGCCAGAGCCCGTGCCCTGGGCCTGGGGGGGCCCCCTGCTGGAGCCCCAGCGCTGCCCGGTCCCCTCTTCCTCTCCTGGGGCCCCCAGGAGATGCTCCCAGCGCAGCAGGCCCCCCAGGCTGCCGGGTCCGAGCAGCAGGCAGGGGCCCCAGGGTGTGGGCAAAGGCCGAGGAGAGCTACACAGCTCCCCGTTGACGGGCTCTGGGGAGCCGGGCCCCTCCCCCGGAGGCCGCCAGGGGGTGGCGGGGGAGCACAGAAGCAGGGGGTCGGTCTCCTCCAGGGCTCTCAGCACCTCCAGGATCTGGGCTTTCTTCCGCAGGAATGGGGTCAGGGCGTCCAGCGCTGGGGGTGGGGCAATTGGCGGTCCTGGGCCTCCAGGCCGCAGCTGCTGCTCCCAGCACACCTTGGGGGACGGAGGGCAGGAGCAGGAGGAGGTTGGTGCCCATGCCGCTGGGGGCAGAGCTGGCCTGCCGTCTGTGCTTCTATGGTGGCTCGGAGTCCTCCTGGACACCTCGCCTGTTCCTTCTGGCACACTTGGGGCTGGGTGGACAGCCCACCTCCCCTTCTTGGGGGGGGGGTCCCCGTTCTCCCCTCTAGAACCCTGACCTCTAGGCTAGCCCTGGGGAGGGAGGCCTGGCCACTTTTCAGAGTCAGAAAGAACAGAGTCACTCAGGAGGCCCTGAAAGGTGCCCAGTTTGGTCAGCTCACCTGGCCCCTGGCAGGAGGAGGGGGCTGGGGCCACGTGACGCCAACCCTTCCTCACTCTTTCCCAGCCCCTTCTTGGGCTGTCATTGTGTTGACTCCACAGTCAGTGCTGTGTAGGTTTGAGACCTGGTCCTACCGGCTGCTGCTGCCCTTAGGGACCCTCAGTCGACCCCACCTCGGGGCCGCTCCGTGGACAACAGGACAGAGCGCTGCCCGGTCCTGCGCCAGCCCCACAACTGCTGTGTTTAAGCCCACTGTTGCAGCCGCCGTGCCAGCCCGCCTCCTTGAGGGTCCGCCTCTTTCCCGAGGACCTCCACTTTACTGGACACTGAACTGCCGGTCTGTAACCTCTGGCCTTCACTGCACTCCCCACCGGCAAAGCTCGGTGCTGTGTTTGCTGCCTAGTTGTGCTGCACCAATGGGACTCAGAGGGGTTCTTGGGACAGAGCACGAGGGCCGCGTGCACGCATACACGCATGGACGGACGCACAGACGGAGTCCCAGGCTATGTGGAAGCAGGCAGGCACGTCTTTTCACCCGTGGAGTGGCCAGTTGAGTTCAAACGGCCTGGCTTTCGGTTGGCAGAGGGGCGCTTGACCACTGCGCCACCAGGGCTCCTGTGTGCTTGACCACGTAAAAACAAGACCCAGTACCTAGTGTGACCTAGTACCCAAAATGCATGGCTGCTGCATCTGCCACAGGTCCTGGCTGGGCTGAAGGCTCACACCTCCAGGCCTGAAAAATGCCTGCCTGGGCACCATCAGGGGGGCCCTCGGGGCGGGGGGAGGGGGGGTCCTGCCCTGAGACACTTTAGCAAACAGCCTGGAGTACCAACCGACCAGGCCCCCCGCCCCCCACACCCCACAGAGCCTCTCCTACCTCTCTCTGCCCAGCAGAGCGCCCCATGGGCAGTGAGGGGGCCGGTCCCTCGGCGGAACTCAGGGAGGGGGAGGCCGGCGGCTCTGGGGGCGGCTGGAGTGGGCTGAGTGGGACCTGCAGAGAGAGGCAGACTGAGCAGAGGCGTCCGGGGCCAGCACTCAGGGTACCTTCTGGCCCAGGGCCCATGGTGCTTGCTGAAGTCCTCGCCCGCCAGCTCGTAAGACAGGGCTAGTAGATCTGAAGATGGGGCACAGTTTATGTGTTAGGCTGGTGGGACCAGTCAGGAGGGTTTGGGGAAAGAGAAGCACCTTTGGGCCTGGGGGGGAGGGAGACAGTGGGCAGGTCTGAGCCTGGGTGCCCATGTTGGCTGCAGGGCTGCTCTGCTGGCTGGGGCACGTCTTCCTCAGTGACAGAGGTGGGGTGGGGTGTGAGCGTCTTGGCTGGAGTGGGGGTGGGTGGGCGGAGGGGGTCCCTTCACACCCACACCCACCGCCTCCACGCCCACACACGACCCATGGCCACCAGAGGGCGCTTGCCTGGTTCTTCTGAATACGCTCCCTGCACCTCATGCACCCTTTGCTCCAGCCAAGCCCGAAGGCCCTGGGACCCCTGTGGGTGCCCCTTCTCCCTTTGGGAAGCCATTCCCCCTACTTAAAAAACAAAACCTTCCCTCTTCCAAGGCTGGAGTGCAACAGCCCAATACCATCTCTGAAAGGAGCCCTTGAGTCCTCCCCTTAACTGCTGGGGCAGCATACAGTTGTCTGCTTTGCAGCGTGGCTGCCAGCAGCCCCAAGCTCCCCAGGAGGGCAGTCAGCTTGTGCAGGCCACAGCCCGTGGACAGGGCCTTGAGACTCAGTCCAGTCTCACCCAGGCTGCTTAAATGCCCTGCTCGCAGTAAAAAAAAAAACTTATTTAGCATCTGCTCAATGGAGCCTCCGTCCCAGCTAAGCACAGGTAGCTTTTACCCATCTAAGGCCCAAATCAAACAGGCTGGTGGGGTGGGGGGTGGGGGTGGCGGTCCTTCCCTGATGGCCACAGCGCCCCACATGGCTGAGGTGTAGCTTCCTTCAGCAGGTGCAGTGAGAAGGTGCTGATGGGTCGGGACTAGGGACTGAGGAAGGGGAGCGAAAGCTCCGGGCGCACCTGAGGCAGGGAGCCTGCTGTGAGCTGGAGCTTCTGCTGGAACAGGGCACTGAGCATCTGGTTCTGCCGCTCCAGGTCGAACACCCGCTTCTTCAGCTTGATGCACTCCTCCCGCAGGTCCTGTCCCACGGGGAGCGGGGTGAGCAATGAGAGGGACTGGGGTGTGAGCACGGTCCTCCCCAGAGGCCCCGGAACTCCTGCTGTGCCCCCATCCTCCCTCCCTTCTGAAGAACTGAGCCTGGCGGATGGTTGGAGCAACAGCTTCTTCTAAAGATGGTGAACCCCTGAATTTACTACATTCTGGCCTTTCCCGTCCGATCTCCTGTGTCTTAGAAACCACGCTTTGGAGAAGGGCTCCCTAGTGGGACAGAGGAAGGTCTGGGGGTTCCTCATGGTTCCCAGGTCAAGAAGTACCCACCAAGCCTGGTAATTCAGACGGGTCTTTGTAAACTCCTGGGGCCAGAATAAGGGAGGGGTGTAGGCCTCCAGACCAAGGTACCCAGCCTTGCCTACCCTACCCTACCCCACCCCACCGCTCTGACTTGCCCCCAGGGCCGGAAGGGAGAGAATAAGGTCATCTTCAACACCCCCTTCTCCAGCCTCCAGGGAAGGCTTCACAGAGCAGCCTCGGGGCTCTGGCAGGACTGGCCCTCTGCCCAGGGCCGGGAGTGAGCCTCCCTCCCGGGGTCACTCACCTTCTGGTGGAGCAGGGCCTGCACCACGTGGTTGGCCACCTGGAGACAGAGAGCCCACCTGTCAGCCGGCCTGGCCGTGGCCTGGAGCAGACAAGCCGAGCAGCCCTCCCCCAGCCCGGTGCAGCCCCCAGACCTCGTCCAGGCAGCGCTCGTAAGACTCCCGCTGGTTCTCGTTGGCCTGTGCCAGGGCCGAGTTCTCCGCCTGCAGGGGGCGGGAGGAAGAGGGCGAAAGAGAAACTTTGGGCATCATCCTTCCCTTGGGGCAATTTCCTTCCGTGTGGGGGTGGGGTGTCGAGATTCAAGGAACCTACTAATGACAGCCCCATTCCGCCCTCGGCGGTGACAGATGCACCTCAGACTGGATAAAGCAGGGCAGGGCCTTTGTGTGGCCAGCGGCAGGGTCTGAGGCTCTGTCCCCTGTGCCTCCTGTCCCGAGCCCTGAGTCAAGTCACGCAACCCTTTCCTCCTGCTGCTCCACACAAGTGGGGACAGGGACGTGAAGGCAACGCTGGGAGCCAGCTGGGCGCTGTGGCATCACGGCCCCATACAAGCAGGCATCAGGGCAGGGGCTCTAAGGGCTTCTCAGATGAGCTCTGCTAATGGAATGTCGGTGGGCAAAGAGGCCCGCCAGCAAGCCCATTGCACCCCCCCACCCCGCTGGACAGCGCCCCACCTCCAGCTCCCGCAGGCGGTGCAGAAGGTCCTGGCAGGTACCCGGCTCTCTGCTGCCATCCCCGTTTTCTCCCGGCCTTGGGCTTCCAGGCCCAGCGGCCGGCTGGTCCATGGTCTCCGACATCAGGTCCTGGAGCAAGCAAGAGAAGCCTGGGCAGGCTACACAGGGGCCGGGGGAGGGGAGCGGAGGAGGCGGGGGCAGAGACGACACCTGTCACTATTCCCCTGAGTTGCATACACTGTAAGAGTCAGCTTGGGGCTGGGGACCTCCAAGTCCTGGGACTGTTTGCTCATCTCAGGGACAGGCACCATTGTCTTCTACACTGGACACTTGCCCAAAGGGAGTCCGGAGGTGACAAGCGGCGCGGGCGCTCAGCTGCTCACTGTAGGGTTGGACACTCAGTCCAGCTCGAGGGACACTCGGAGAAAGGGGTGGCTACCTCCTGCCAGACCAAGCAGCCGCCGCAAACCCCCACCCAGGGCCGCCAGGAGTAGGGGGTCGGTCAGCTCCAGGCTACCGGTTTGGTGCCCTGGACACATCCAGACACAGGTCACAAGCACTGGGCTAGGGGAGGAGAGGGCTACAAAATGACCACAACGCTGACCTTCAGCAGTTACAAAGACTCTCTGTGACACGGAGATTGGAAGAAGTTACAAAATTAAATTTTTTTTTTAACATGAGCCTACTGATACGCGTAACAGGAGCGAAAACAATGCATTAAAATATTCCAAAAGCCGTTGAAGATGTAAGGGGACTAGGGCTCTGTCCTGATGTCCGGGGCCGGGCACACTTCAGGCCGTGTGTGCACGGGACTTACAGCGCCGAGGCTCTGGGTGAACAGTGGGGACTTGCTCAGTCACTCCCTTGGTCCACACACCTTGGCTGCTCAGTTTCCTGAGTCTGAGACGTGGGTGGACTCCTGCTTTCCTTGCAGTCTTGTGAGAGTCAAATGTGTGCACAGGTGGGGCAGAGTTTGAGAACCCGTCTACCAGAGGAGGTGCCCACACGGGGCCGAGATCCAAGGCTGGGAATCAGTGACCTGAGTTCTGCTCCCGTCTCCCTCTGACACAGCCGTTTCCTCCTGGCCAACACCTGCTGCTCCAGGCCCCCTCTCCCCAGGGGGCACAAAGACCCCTGTGAAGCTGAGCCAGCCCCTTGGTACAAGGTGTTCCCTCTGCAGGGGGATTGGGGGCACGCCCTGACCCTCCTCTTCCCATCAGCCTGGCTCCCATTCAGTCTTCAGGTTCCTCCTTCCAGTCGGGGAAGGTGCCTCTCCTGCTTGGTCCCGTAACCCTCGGTCTCCCCGAGGGGACAGAGACAGTGCATGCAGGAACAGCTGCTGGCCAGTGTCGGAGACAGGTTAACCACAGTGCACACACAGCCCACCGTCTCCGTTCCTGGCAGCATCCACCTTCCGTCTGAAAGTGAGTTTTGACTCTGCTGGAGGCAGTAGTGTGGAGGCTCCGGGAAGGTGGGAGCCTCTCCTTAGGGGAAGAGGGTGGGAGCCCGCAAGGCCTCCCGTGACCACTCCTCTCCCTGCCCTCATTGAAGCTGCCACAAAAAGGGGCTTAGAGCGTTGGGGCCAAGGAGAGGGGTCCCTCAGCAGGGCATTGAACAGTCCCCACTCTGTCCTCCACAGGGGCTCAGGGATGCCCCCCTGCACACCTCCCGCCCTCCTCTGCTGATCCCCACCATTTTCAAGCAGGCCCCTAAGCCCCTCACCTGCCTCTGCCTCCTCTCCAGGCGGGCACACTCGCACGTAGCCCACGCGGTCACCTGGCCTGTGGAGAAACACAGGGAGACACTATAGTTGCGTGCACCCTCACAGGGGTGTGCTCCTGCTGCGGGCCGAGGGGCCCACACAGCCCTTCCTTCAGGACGCCTCCACTCTGACAGATGAGCCAGTGGCCACTTATCTGTGCACTGAGAGGTGACAGCTGAGGGGACAAGACCCGGGAGTGGGAAGCGCAGGCCAGGCCGAGGGAAAAGGCTCTCAGCCTTCGGCCAGGAGTCACTCAGACACAGACCCGGGGCTTCCAGACCCTCCTGCACACACACTGCCTTCCTCAATCCTCCCAGCCTCACGGGAACCCAGTGACGCCAAGGAGCAGGCAGGCAGACTCCCTCAACCCTCGTGTGAACACAGAGGCCAGGGCTACTGGAGCACCGAGAGGCCAGGGCTACTGGAGCACGGGAGCTTACTGGGCAGCTCCTAGGGGCTCTTCTGCTCTGCACCCTGCATATGTCAGGGTTGAAGGACAGAGTCCGGATAACTGTGGCTCCTTACAGCCAATGCTGGCCTTTGCCTGGGCAGATTCAGGCCAGAATGCTTACTCGATGGTGGGGGGTGGGGGGTAAGGATATGTGTGCAGTTCACCAAACCTCTCTGACAGTTTCCTCACCGGTGAGCCTCCTCTGTAAAGCACACCTTAGCGGATTACAAAGAATGGGGGAAAAAATCAGGTGAAACACACTCCCAGGTGGTCACGCTGGAATTAAACTAGAAGTCATTCCCAGTAAAAGAGCTCGCAGATCCCCAAGTAGTTGGGAGATTAAACAACACGCTTCTAATGAACACATGGGTCCAAGAAGTCTCCGGAGAAATTAAAACATTCATTTTTTTATCTAAATGGAAATACAACTTGGCGACATTGGTGGGACCCCAGTGAGAGCCGAGTTAGTGATACGTGGGCAGCACGGCGCAGCTCGTTCAGAACACTCAGCCCAGAGGGCTGCGGAAGGGTGATGTGAGGCTGGCATTTTCTAACAACAACACCAGTGCCAAGGCCTGTCACCCACCTCACCTGTTCACACTCAAGTCCCAGGCCTCTCACCGTGGAGTCTCGGCTGGAAGACCCCCTGAGGGTCTCAGAGACCATCTTCCGACCTCCCTGCCCTCAGCACGTCCCCACCTCCAGCCTACACCCTGCCAGCTCTCCGGCCCCAGGGCCAGCAGCTCAGCCTGACACCCGAGGCAGAGTGAGTGGCTAGACTTTGTTGCTCTTTTTACCCATTGGTTGTGCTGCAGTTGAGACGGCACACAGCCATCCACGAAGCCACTTCTACGTGTGCAATTCAGTGACACTGATGATAGGCGCCATTCTTCATGTTGCACAACTCTTCCCGCCCGCCTTTCTGGGTGGTTCCTCCCTGATTAGCATGAGCTCACTGTCCCCTACGCTTCCCAGCTGATCTTTGAGTTGCTGTTGCCAATATGCTCCCATAAAAGTTGTTCTTAAGGAAGTGCAAAGCTCATGACTTCTCCACAGGACAGAACTACCGAATTGTATGCTATGTGGATCATGTGCCAACAAAACCACTTTGAAAAATAAAATGAACATGAAAAAGGAAGCCTGGTGCTCAAGGCAGACAGACATTTTTTTTACTAGTTAAGTGAAATTACAATTTGGCTTTAAGGAGACATCGGGGGATATTTTTGGTTTGAGGTTTAAAGATGATCTAAGGGCAGTAGTTTCAAGGGTTCATCCAACATCCATGGTCCAGGAAATCTGGTACTCCTGGGAGTTGGAAATTCTGTTCTGCATCCGATCCCTTTTGATCAGGACTCTTCTGTACAATTCCTGACCAGCATGCTGGTAGGCAGGCATCATCTAGGACTTCATGGGAGTAGAAAGCCTCATCTCTCCCCCAAGGAGCGGTGGGTGGTTTTGAACGGCAAACTCCACAGCTGGCGGCCCAACACATCCCCACTGCCCCACGGGGACGCCTACCATTTAGTTCTTTGATCCCCTGGCAAAGGAGGCCGTTATTCACGGGGGCAATTAGTCACACCTTCCACGGCTCCCTCCTACCTCTGGTGTTCCGGGCGAATATAAGAGAGGCATCAACAAGTTTGTGGGCAAATAGAAAGAAAAGGTAATAGAAAATGTCCATGAACCTTTGGAAGGCCCCTCATGGTGACCAGTTACTGTGCCTTGAGTGGCCACTTGTAAGCTTTTGTTGTCCGAGGCACTTGCATCAAACTCGGGTGTAGAGCTGAACAGGTCATTAAGCCAGCTAACTGGGGTAGCCCATGAAACCATGACCCTAAACCTCCAAACCAAATCTTATGAGGTCTTCAGTTGCATCAGCAGTCTCAGCAGGAACTCCTGTGTGTGTGTGTCTGTCTGACTGTTATAAATATATCCGTCACATGATGTTTGTGGCCGGCTGCTTTGAGGGCAGGGTAGTAAGAAGTGGAAGAGGCAAATGCTTCCTTCTGAGTGCATTTGTGTGTGTGACGGTGGAAGAGGGGCCTCTGAAAACATTCACAGGTAAAGAGAAAACTGTAATACTTATTTCTAATATTCCTTAACAATCGAAGGATGCAATGCTAAAAACACACGCTTGTCTATGCCGAGAAGTCTGGAAGACAGTGACCTGCCTGTCTGACTAGAAGAATCCTGTATTTGTGCCCATTCCAAAGCTGAGCCAAGGAAATGTGGAAATTATCACACGAATCTCATCGGTATCACATGCAAGCAAAACTTTACTAAAGATCACTCAAAAACCCCTGCAGATGATTGGCCACCCTCTGTCTGGAGGGAAAACAATGAACGAGGAAAGGTGAAGCTGCACGGAAACATTTAGCCCAGCGGACTCATCATCTTTTCTAGCATCAGACGCCATGCCCCTGAGACCAGAAGAACTAGATGGTGCCTGGCTGCCCCGGCCAACGGAAAGGGAGCCTATTAGAAGAACCTGGACAGAGTGGAGAAAATGTGGAACAAAACTCCAGATTATGAAAAAGACCAGCTAACTGGTCAGACAGAGGCCCACGGAGGGACCACTGAGATGATGGCCTTTAGTCATCCTGCACTCAGGTCTGGAGCCAAAATTAGTCCCTCGGACCAGACCACACACAGGTGTCTAAGAGGCACAGCAACACTAGGGAAGTATAAACACCTCGGAAGAATCAACCACTCGAGACTGAACCGCAGCATTTACCGCACGACAACGCTCGGAAGGGGCAGGAGGACTGGAAAGAGCAGATGGACAGAAAGTGGTAAGGGAGTGTGAGGACTGCAATCAAGGAGATGAGACGAAGTGTGTCTGCGTTCCTGAAGGGAAAGCCCGATGGACTCCATCACCTGACCCGGTGCACAGTAGGAAGTTAAACCTGGAAGCAGGTGCAGCAGGACGCTGACGGGGGCATTGCCAGAGAGGGTGGCAGGATTCAGAGGAGGACAGGGGACGGGGGGATGTCACGGCTGATGTCAGATGGGTCTTGGGCTGAAAGCAGAGGTTTCCCTGGGTTTGACTGATTATGCAAACCGTTGTGTGGGTCACAGCAAATGATGGCTGACACGGTGAACCATGTGAATCCCAAACCCTTCATCTTGCTTCCGTGTGGAATCTGTAAAACAGACCATGTGGCAGGCATTCAAACAGCCAGGAGACACCCCTGTGTGGCGTAAAGTCAGGAAAGTCTGCATCCTTTTACTCGACTTCCTCGAGGTGTATGCTGAGCCGAGGACCGGAGGAGACGAACCACAGGAAGAAGAATGCAGCGTCTGGATGGGGGAAGACTCACCAGACACCTGTAACCTGCAGATGAACAGTCTGTCTGCGAAACCGCAGAGGCGCTGAAGCACTGACTGATAAAGATCAAGGACTACAACTTTCAGGACGCGCTAGACACCACCATACAGGAAACAAAAATCCTCGCCACTGGACCAATAAGTAGTGTTATGATACACCGAGCAAAGACGTCAAGTTGTCGAGGAACGCCTCTTTGAAGTCTTCCAAAGCGAAAAGGTCACTCTGGGGACGAAGGTCCACCTGGCCCGAGCCATCCTATCCTCACGTGCTTTATGTGCATGTGAAAGCTGGACCAGGAATAAGAACTGAGATTTTAATGAAAGAAAAAGAACGGAGATTTTAATGATGGTGTTGGCCCCCAAAAAAAGAGCCAACAGACCACGGGCCGCCAGAAGAACCTACAAGCGTATCTTAGGAGTACAGTTCGAAGACTTCTTGGAAGTGGGGGTGGTGGTCTTGTCTCAGGTATTCTGGTCATGCGATCATGAAGGACCAGTTCCTTGAGAAAGACACCGGGCTTGGTAATGTACAGGGTCACTGAAAAACAGAGCGACCCCCAGGAAGATGGACGGACAGCAACGGGCTGATGCACAGCCACAATGGTGACGATGGTTCCTCTTGTTGCCACAGGTCTCCACGAGTCTGGACAGACCACCTAACAGCCCCTTACAGCATCAACAACAATCTACAGCCTTTTGTTACTTTACTACCATACACAGGTCACATGGGCTTTGCTCATGACATTTTTGTTTTTTAGCTTTTTATTTATTTATATCGTTTTATTAGGGGTTCATACAACTCTTATCACAATCCATACACACATCAATTGTGTAAAGCACATTTGTACATTCATTGCCCTCATCATTCTCAAAACATTTGCTCTTCACCT